ATCCAAATTAAACATAATTTAAAGTTGGGAAGGGTAGAAGAAAGGGGAAGAAAACAGGAAGAAATAACATTTGAGTGCAATCGTACATGAAAAATGAGGTTAGAAATGGGTCTTGACCAAAATTCCGAAGGCAACCCACACATTGCTTAAGAGAGGAAAGAGTCTGCATGATCTGTGTTGCAGCTGTGATACATCACAAAATGAAATGGGCAGTTGATGAGCCCAGCACTGAGTTCATGTATCTTGTGGCTACTGGCTGAAATAAACAGGAATAAATAAATATATAGAAATTTATTTTGATAGTTAAATAGTGGTAAAGATGAATACAGAAAATACTTCATACATGTTGCTGTTATCTCTCTTAAAAAGAAAAAAAAAATTTTTTCTGTGCAAAGGCTGTTTTCCTGGCTGCTGAACTTTAGAAGGAAAACCCTCAAGTAGTACTGATCTATCATAGTGCTATCTTCATCCTTTTTGCTACAGATTATAGAAAAAAGGACATGGGTGAACAGTCTCTGAACACTGGCAACACTTGAGTGTCTTGTGTCTTTGGGTAGCTGCTGTCATGTGGAATAGCCTTGTGGCTCCTCTATATGAGAACAAACACTGATTCAGTACTTTGTCCTTAGCAGCCAGTGGGAAAGAAATTACGCCAAAGGAAACTAACTTTTGTTCTTACAGGCTATTCTCTTGGTCAGCCTTAATGCTATAAAATCCCGTTATTTGATATGGCAACTTTTGCACTTGTTTCTTGGTGTATTTTAGGGAAGTAAATTAAATCATCTGTTCTCCTGTGTAGAAGTGTTTGCTGACTGGAGGCTAATCTCGCTTTCCTTTCAATTAGAACAGATTACTGACAGGTTGTTGGGGTTTTTTTGTTGTTGTTGTTTTTTTTTGTTGTTTTTTTTTTTTTTTTTTTTTTAAACAGAATCTGTTTCCATATAAGTATGGCTTAGGAAGGAGTGAAGTCCTTCACAAACATGGGCAGACACTTGCCCTTTCAGCCCACCTGAAGAACCACCTATGCATAGGGAGTGTAGAAAGTCATTAAGGAAGTGCTGGGCATAAGGCTGGGAGTTGTTCTCTGCTGTCTTCCTGGGATCTGGGATTTGGAAATAGGAAGAGCTGTAGTGTGCTTGGCTGAATCACTTCTATATTACTGGAAATTAGACTTAGCACTGGGGCTACAAGCACACTTTGTTGAAGATAGGAAGTAGAAGAAACCACCTGGCCTTGAGATTGAGGGCAGGGCTACAGGCTGGCCAAGCACAACTGATGGTATGCTGGGGTTTAGTAGGTGAATGAGTGTCAGGGATCTCTTCTCTCTTGCAGTCTGTGAAGTGCAGTAACCATCTATAAACACCATCTGTACTTTGCCATTTTTCCTTGATGGCATTAGTCTGCCTCTTTAACACACCAAACAGCTGGTAGGGATCTTGCCTCAAGACACATGCTACCTGTGTCTCTGTAGTGATTTTGAGTTTTGTCAATGCTCTTTAATACAGTTAACAAAGCTACTAGTTTAGGGTCAGTACAATACGTAACTTGTCTGCAATGTCCCTTTTTCAAGATCTTAGCCAAGAGGTGCTATGCTGGATTTTACTCAGCCACCCCTGATTTTAGAGACATAGCATCTGGTCTTTGCCCTTCACACCTTTCATTAATTAGGAAATATTCCTGATCTCATTGTATAAATAGCCTTTAAATAACCCATCATGAGATGAGCAAAGTGTGACAAGAGCTTGTGTTTACAGATTTTTAGAATTCTTAAGGAAACCACTTTTTCTCTTTACTAAAGTTCTGGATAAGATTCTTAGCCAGAGAATGAACTTCTACTTGGTTTATGCTTTTAAAAAATATTTTAAGCTAATTAAAATATTCTTTTTGTGCCAGTAGAGATGTATACTAAGAGTCTGGGCAGTTTGAAAAGAGAAGTGGTACACAAAAATACTGTGCATAAAGCAATCTGTGCATAAAGTGCAAAGGCACAAATAACTGCATTTTTAAATAACTGTAATAAGGTACCTATTCAGTAATGAAACTTTTGCCCATTTCTTTTGTTAGAGGTCTATGTTTCTTTAGCATCTGATTTTTTTTCTCTTAAAGTTTTCTACTTGTATCCTTTGGTGTTCTAGCATGTTTTAATTTCACTGGTTGGTAATAAACATCCATTATACAATTATCCAGATTAAATAGGTTGAAATAGATTGTCTTTTATACATCTAATCAAAGAAAGCTTGAAGGTATAATGCTAGAAGCTAAATTCAAGGAAGATGTATGAGGAACCTTTTTGAAACTTGTGTTGCTAGAATAAATTTTGAAACCTGTTAGGACACTTCCTACAGTGTATTTTGCTATGTTTTGTCTGCAAATCTGGTCTTTTACAAGGCTTTGACTATACATCTGATGGGATAATAAATGTTTATTCCTAGCTAGCTAAGGGATCCATACTTCTACTAAACCTCATACTCTGCCCCTGTACACAGTCAGGTTGCTGGCAGAAGTTCTCTAATACTCTCTTACTATGTTCTTGTTAATGTGGGAAAGATTTGCTTTTTATGAAAGAGCACCTTCATCCCTTCCTCTCTGTTGTGCATTAACGCAAGGTGAGACTGGAGCTTTGGTCTTAATTTTCACTCCAACTGAAATATGTAGGAATCTTTCCTGACTTTAGACCATAGAAAAGAATTGTGTTCTAAACTGTATCTTTCTGAAAGGAAGGGAAACACATCTATGGAGCAGTGCCTTGCTAGGTATTTTGTGCGCCCAGTCCATTCGTTTGTGTCAGTGTCCCACAGTGGTGCCAGTGTCAATCTGCCTGGTCCCATAGTAAATGCCATATACTGCCAAAGCCAATGGAGCAGCTAATGTTTAGCTGATGTATTTTTGTTTTTATGTAATGTTCCAGAGATAATGCTTGGTTATTGAGGTGTCTTATCTGGAGGTATGGACACTTTAGTCTGATGGCATGAGACTGCAGAACTGTCATAATTCAAATCTTTAATCACAGAACCACAGAATTGTAGGGGTTGGAAAGGACCTCAGGAGGTCATCTAGTCCAACCCCCATGCTAAAGCAGGTTCCCTACAACAGGTTGCACAGGAAAGTGTCCAGGTGGGTTTTGAACATCTCCAGAGATGGAAACTCCACACCCTCTCTCGGCAGCCTGTCCCAGGGCTCTGACACCCTCACAGTAACGAAGTTTTTCCTTAAGTTTGTCTGGTGTTCCAGTTTTTGCCCATTGCCCCTTGTCCTGTCACTGGGTACTACTGAAAAGAGCCCGGCCCCATCCATTTGGCCCCCACACTTCAGGTATTTATAGACACTGATAAGATCCCCCCCTCTGTCTTCTCTTCTCCAGGCTGAAGAGTCTGAGCTCTCTCTGCTGTTCTTCACACGGGAGATGCTCCAGGCCCCTCATCATCTTTGTGGCCTTAATCACAATTCAAATCTTCTGTCATTTTTGTTTTCCTATAGAATGGAGGATTTGATGAGAAAGGATTAAGCCTAAGGTTCCTTTTTAATTGTTTTGTCTCAACGTTTGCCACAGCAGATACTAAAGCTTTAGTATTTTAAGATACATCAGTCTCTCTAACAAAATGGATGCATTTGATTTTTTACTTAGTGTATTCTAGATACACCAGCAGCAGGTGATATCTGCATAACAGAGAAAAATAGTTCCTTTTCAGAGCTGTGGGAGCATCAAAATTTTAAAATAATAACAAGTATTTTCCTTTTTGCTTTGCTACATAGAGAAAATATGAAAAAGAATTTAAAAACAGCTACTGGCTTTTTGAGAACCAGGTGCTGTAAAAGGCATTTAACAACAGAAACCAATCAGATTTTAGTGCAAGTGCAATTATTTACCCCTCTGAGTGCTCCTTGCTGTCTTTTCTTAGATCCTTTACAACCTACATCTTGTAGGTAGCACTTAAAATTACTAGGTATGTTGCCTGGGTCAAACCTTCCCACAGCCACCGAGTACCTCACAATTGTAATTGTAATGTGTTATTTTCTCGGAGAACTTGTGCTGCAGATTCTTAAACCTGATGATAACTTCACCTTGTTTAGGTTCCTTCATTTCTGCAGTGCATTATAACGAGTACACTGAGTGTTTCAATTAAATGCTCTCAACTGATGAGAGAGCAAAGTTCCTTTACACAGCGACTGTAATAAATGAAGTCATGGCCAGAACCCAAATATGATTTCCTGTAATGCAAGACACTGGAAGCTGTCACAGTCTTCTCCAATATTCATCTGGTGGCAAGGATGCAGCCAGGGGACGCTAATCCTAGTATGTTCATAGGAGACCTCATCAGGTAAGCGTGCTGCTGCATTCCTCCTGCTAGATACCAGGAAGTACAAAACATTGCAAGGCCTGGACTTCTCTGGAGCACCAAAACATTTCTTATCTTTTAAGCCCATATGCTAGAGACAAACTCCAGGTTATGAGTCTGGTTCAAACACCGTTACAGTTAAGCAAACAACATACTCTAAAACTTCTAAAACATTTCAAATTACCTGATTGTGGGTTTGAGTCAGGTTTCAAGTAAATATGATAAATGGGCCTGTTGGCTTTTATGAAATGTCATAACTAAAACTCAATTTATTCAGCTCCTGTAGATTTCTAGTTATTCCTTCTCACATTTATTTTGGTTCCAATATGGTATTTTTTAACTCTGCCTACCATTTATTCATTTTAACTTAGCCTACCATGCTAAGAGTATGAAAAATACTTTTTTTTTCCCCCATTATTTCTTTTCAGAGGTTGCCTTGTGACAGTAAGTGATCCTTCTGCAGTTTTCCGTTTGTCGCAAAGGGCCAAATTTAGGTTTAGTTTAATTCTTTTGTAACTGAATAGGTTTCAGTGGAGATCAAATCAGAGGAGAACTTGGATTCAGCCATTTTTGTTATATCAGGTAATATTCCTTTAAAAAATAACTCAATAGTTCCTTTAAAACACAATAAATCTTTTGAATTATATTTCACTGTAGAAGAGAAACTGAAAACATTTTCTAATGTCTTTAGCATGAACTTCAGAGTCTTTCCCTCCCTCTGAAAACTGACAGGCAGGAATTTGCTTAATCCAAGCTTGTCCTTTTTTACTTTTCAGACAGCAATACTTATGAATAGATCACAAATAATTCAGAAATTGTATTTAATTCCACAATGCAAACACAAAAATCTTTCATCTCTCAGTTTTGTTGCAAAATGGGAAAATTGATTTGTTCTGGAATTCTCTATCTATATTTTGACCTGCTGTCCTTCAGGTAAACATTCAGTTGTGGTGGTAGTAATATGTACTTTAGACTGTCCAGTAGTGATTTGCACACACTTTTACTGCTTTGAATTTAACTTGAAAATGCGATACAACCCAGTATGAAGTCAGCACAGGCAACTTTGCTGTCTTAAAGCAATATCTTATAAACCAGAATTAAAAAGAAACAATTTCAAGCAGACGTTAAATCTTTCTGTCCTGGGATAAATAATTAATCAGAAAACTCACAGTAGCCCATTAACACAATACTACTTCTAAGCTTTTTTTTTTTAATTTTTTTTTTTTTAAATCGTGAGTCATAACTATAAGCACTTACTGTTATGGCCTGGAATCTTTCTTTCAGCAATTCGGCTTCCTCCATTCTAGAAATCAAAAACAGACAAGTAGTGAAGGAAAACAGAATGAGACCATAAGCAAAAAGCCTCCTGGTGGGGCCACAAAAAAAAGCTGAGGTGATTTGATCCAATTCCAGAGCAGAGAGAAGGCAAAATTTTTGACTTCTCAGGAGAGTCCCTGAACAGATGAGCAGATCAGTCCAGACAGATACATGTAATGAGGGTGTGTAGAAGCGGCAGACGTGGAGAGTGCTGGCATGAGTTGACTGACAAGTTGGAACAGTGGAGCACAAGCCCTTTTCCTTCAGAAGCTGCCAACTCTTTGTTTTAATGTGCTCAGTTAGCGTGCCATTGCTTCTTTAACTGTTAAATGCCCAAAACTTCTAGGACCGTGGTAGAAGTAAACTTTTATTATGTTCCAATTTCTTTCTTACCTTTGTGTATGCTTCAGGTGATAAACAAGTATTTTAAACCTATTAAGTATTCCTATTGCTTTTAAATCTTATTTCACCTGTTTTAACCTGTTGTAATGTTATCACTGTAGATGGCATGGGTTTCTTTTTAGATGGCAGTTTTAACTTAGTTTCCTAGATGAAATTTTTAGAGAAGCTATATTCATAGCTGGAAGGATGTTTTAGAGTTGCTAGCCTAAATTAAAATAAACTTTAAGCAATCAGATCTGTCATTGAATGCACGTGTTAATCTGTACAATTACTGGTCAGCTCTCTAGGACTCAGGGGAAGCTTTGTCTAAGTAAGGATTTCAAGTTCATAATTTCAGTGTTACCAAGATGAGTGTAAAATGCCAGTGGCTCTCATGCTGGATTTCCATTCAGCTGACTTGAAGGTTTTTTTGCTATGGACTTCTGCTGAAAACAGCATTATGCTCCTTAGGGGATGGCATACATTTTGACCTTTCCGATTATGTGAGTGGGAGTCAGCCATCCAAAATCAATCTGGGAAACTTGCAAAACAAGTGGAACTGCCTTTAGTAAAATCCAGTTGTAGAAAAAATTCTAAGCAAGATAAAGCTGAATTCGAACAGCATAAAGATGTAATGTGGATCTGGTATCACTTTGTTACCCTCAATATCATGTAACTTTGTAAGGACACCAAAAGGAGAGTCAGTCAGCATGTTTGTTTTTTTCCCTGCTAATTCACTGAGATGACTAAACTCAGCAGGATTTGGTAAGGGGTTTTACTTTACATGTCAGTACAGTGACCTGAATCTTGGTGGCAAATCAGACTCATTACTATCAATTTCTATGATGTTACAGAATTGAACACTTGATGATGAAGTTTCATCCTCAGAATTCAATATGAATCAATACTTCATTTAAATTTCCACCTTTCTGGTATGGCATCATTCTTCCATATACACAAGCAGACTATCCCCCTCCACACTGGGACTAAGGATGCATTAATGTTTTGTTTATACTGTGATCCACCCTGAGGTTTTGTCCAAACTTGCAAAGACCCCATGTTTTATTCTCTAGTGAATATTTTTTTTTTTTTTTTTTTTAGAATATTAATATATGCTTCATTTGGTCAGCACTCAAAATTTAAAAAAATTACCACATAAAAGCAAATGTGAAGTTCAAAGACAAGTGTACTCAGGTATATCAAAAGGCAGATTACATGGGAATTTAAATGTGTTCAGCTCATGGATTTGAGAATAAGATCAACCATCCCACTGAATTAAATATATTCTTGCTGCAGAAGCCAATAGAGAGACAGTCTTTCTATTTAATCTTTCATGAGTTAGTACAGCCTGCCTTATTATATTTTGAAAAAAACCAAAACCCCCAAACTTATTTCATCTTCGTCTTCTGCAAAGTTCATCTTAAATTTTAAGTGCTTATGTGGACTTCAAAATGTTCAAAAATCTTTAAAGCAGCAAATGACTACATCAGAAATAAAAAATAAGGAAGTCTCTTTTGGGCCAGAAATCTGTACTCTGATATAAATGGGATTCCATTCTCAGTGGGTGGAGAAATGAGATCAGTATTTCAAATTTGAATTAGAATCAATAGGATTGCATTGCTTTGAATTTTTATAATCTAAAATATTTTCCTAACTTTATGCTCCAAAATTATTTAAATGCTTTTAAAAACTTTACTTGTGGATGTCGTATATTTACAGACCAGAAAAGTTTTCCCTAATCTAAACCCCCAGATTTTGAAGTAACCTGAAGATGGTTTCTAAAATATTGCTTCCTTTTTTAAAGTGTCTGTTATTAAGAAAGTATTTAAAGCCAACTTTAAACATTTTAAGTCATATGCCCCCCTTGCTAGCTAGGTAGGATTTGTTGTTCAGTCAGTAGGTTGTTTTCCATTTAGCTTAATCCTATTCTAAATGGGATTTATGTGCAAGAGAAGAAATGGACCAGCTGTCATTTTGTCTGCCCCTTAAGCCTGCTTCACCAATAGGAGTATCCATGGTGTTATAGCTTAGACCAGTAAAACTGAACAGCTGTGTTTTCAGTTTGCAGGATTCTTGGAACAAGGTTTTTCAGAACTTGCCTGTCAGAAATACATCCAGAGGAAACTATCTACCTATTCTGCAATTTTAAGGAAAAAGAAGAAAAAAAAAATTTTGTGGAGGAATAACATCTTGGCCTGTGTTTGTAACTGGCAACTGTATATTTTTCTTTTGGTAAAACAGGTTCTGAGTTATGCAGAAAGTGTTTGTTGTATCACATGGTGAGTCATACAGGTGGGATTTTTTTTACTTTATTCTTCCTTTGTTTATGGCCATAATCTACTTACAAAAACATCCTCAATTCTACTCTTACTCATTGCACTGGGATTTCTTTTGAAACAAACTGTTAAACTAAGGTAATCCATGTATAGTGAGTTATAGATTGTTGTAGAGGCAAATAATTGCTTCTAAGTAGAAACATCTTATTAAAGGTAAGGAGCAAGAAGCTTTCACTTTTTGAAAAATATGTTTGAAAAAGTGAGTTTGAAGTGAATGGAGTTGATCAGATTGTTGTCAGTTGAAAATAGCCTATACTTTCTGGAAAGAGGGGTTACCAAGTTTGTGAATCACCATTTTGTGCATTTTAACTAGTCTGATTATTTTGCTTCATGATGGGCTGCCTTCTATAGCTGTGTTTGAAACAGGTAAAGGGCATTTTGGACTTGATGTCAAAGTGAATTTTATATTCTTACAGTGGGCAAATGTACTGCCACTGTGCATCTGTCCACATGTAGCCTTGAATATCTGACAGGAGAGGAACTGAGAGGAGATTAATTTTATTGTAAGTCCCTCACTGAAAATATCTACTGCAGTGACCTGCTAGTTAACCCAAAGGTCTGGTGTCTAGAATGCCTCAGCTGGTTGAGAAATGGTATCTTCTCCAGCTAGAACCAAGATTTTGCATTTTAAAGGTGACAATTAAGACAAAAACCTAGAAATCTGAAGATTTAAAAACTTCTGTTTATTCTAGATGAAATGCATACAGACAACTAAAGCCCTTGGGCAGTTGCTCCAAAATTTTTATTTTTTAGAGAGACATTATCTTTAGCTGTGTGTTATTTCCCCAGGGAAAACCAGGTTTGTTTTTCTTACTCAAAGGTTGGTTTTGAAGGCTTTTCCCACCATAAGTTTGCAAAGTACTTCCAGCTTTTTCAGTCACCAGTGCATTAATGTTGCACAATAAGCAGCAAACAGCTTTTGTCTAGGGTACATCCAGCTGAAGAACTCTTCTGCAGTTCATCATGGGTTTTTTTTCTTTTTTTACTAAAAAGCTTAAGACAGTTACATTTCTCAGTGATGGAAAACTTAGCCATCAGTAAAGAAAGAAGCTAGAAGCAGCACCTATCACATTAAATTTGTTTTACTTTAACCTGATTTCTTTCATATTGTAAATAACATATTTTCATGTATCCATCAAGTCATAAATTCCAAGCTAAACTGGAGCATTTTTCATTAAAAATGTGTGTGTTAATAACAGAGGGAAAAAAGCTTTAAAGTGAGGGTAACCTAGAGAGATAAAGTTAAAAACCGTGCCTAGAATATAATTTTAAATACACAAATTTGTGTATACATGCAAATATATATTGTATATATATAAAAGAATATTAGTAATTAGTAAAGATATTAGGTGTGTTTCTGAGTACTTGTGTGTGTTTAAATACTGTATCTAGGTGTATGTATAGCAACCAGACTAGTCATGTGTAGCATGTCTATGGGAGACTTTCTTATTGTTTGTTTTCCTTCTGTAGCTCATTCATCTATTGATTTCTAGCCTCTCAGATTCTGTTGGTCACTATATCTTTAATCTAATGACCTGTTTAGAATGTGTGATTACCTGACCCTGATCAGGTGAATAAAATTTAAAACGCATTATTTTATACTTTAGTCAGTGTCCAATTTATATTAGCCGGTATGCTTAAAGATATGTGATAATCATAGGATTATAGAATAGCTTAGTTAGAAAAGACCATTGCGATCACCTAGTCCAACCATAAACCTGGCATTGCCAAGTTCACTACTGAAGCATGTCCCTGAGTACCACATCTACACATCCTTTAAATACCTCCAGGGATGGTGATTCCACCACTTCCCTGGGCAGCCTGTTCCAGTACTTGACAACCCTTTCAGTGAAGAATTTTTTCCTAATATCCAATCTAAACCTCCCCTGGCGTAGCTTAAGGCTGTTCCCTTTTGTCCTATCACCTGTTATTTGGGAGAAGAGACCAACACCCACCTCACTACAACCTCCTTTCAGGTAGTTGTATAGAGCAATAAGGTCTCCCCTCAGCCTCCTCTTCTCCAGACTAAACAACCCCAGCTCTCTCAGCTGCTTCTCACAAGACTTGTTCTCCAGACCTTTCACCAGCTTCATTGCCCTTCTTTGCACGTGCCCCAGCAACTCAATGTCCTTCTTGTAGTGAGGGGCCCAAAACTAAACACCATATTTGAGGTGCGTCCTCACCAGTCCCTCCATGAAACTATACAATATTAGAAATTCTAAAACAATGTGTACATTTTTAAGATCTTAGAGGAGGCTTATAACAAAACCTCTGCCAGCAATCAGGAGGGATTAAAATTTTGCTTTGAAGGCCAGTTTTGGAGTAATAATTCCCTACTAGGCAAGTCTTTTAGCATAATTAATTTCTTGAGTCCTCTCACTGAAGCAAAACAATATCTGAGAATCTCAGTTTTATACAGTTTTATGAAGCTAAATTCTACCTTCTTTACTTGTTTGAGTAGTCACACACCCTGAATCTCTGTGAGGAAAAACCTTGAACTGTTATGTTTCTGTTG